CTCCCTGCCTTGCCTCCCAGAGTCTCTGCCTGCTTTATTTCCACCCTCTGGTGTTTGTATCACTCCCATCCATCACATCCCAATGCAATGCCTCGCAGTGAGGTTTGGGAAAGCCTCGTGGGATGTCTGTGCCCAAACTCAGGGATGGAGTTTGGGATGGAAGGAGCCACCCTGTGGAAGCCGCTCCTGAGGGAATCTCTGCTCCAACGTTCTGGGATGATCCTGGATGCCCAGCCCAGCCAGCCCTGCTCCAGCTGCTCCGGCAAAACCCCACAATCAATGCGGGACCGGGATCATCGCAGTGCTCTGCCCAGCGCCAGAGCGGGGTTGGTCCCGCAGCATTCCCGGGATGATCTCACAGGGATCCAGCCCCCAGCCCGGAGTTTTCCGTGCTGACAAACAGCCGAACTCCCGGCTCAGGAGCCCTGCATGGATCCACCGGCTCTTGCAGAGCTGGAGCTGAAATCCCTGCGGGATCCCGGGGATCAGAGCCGCGGGCTGCTCCCCTCGGAAAGCACAGCCCCAATAACGGCACAACCAAGAGAAAAAGGGCTGTGAAATCCAGGGAAATTCTGCCACAGCACCCGGCCACCGCTCAGCAGAGCCCTGAGAATCCTCGGGCATCTTTTCCAAGCGCTGTTCGCAATTGTTATCACCCGGAGATGATTCCCTCCTTCCCGAGCACAGAGCCCAGCCCTAAATTCCGGTAATAAACTCACAGCACGGCAGGAATCGCATCGCGATCGCTCCTGCCGCCTTCTCCCCAGGCGAAAGTGCAGCCGGATCCCAAATTCCTCAAGGAAATGTGCCTGCGCATCCCTGGTGTGTCACATCCCTGTCCCGCTGGGCACCCCGCACCCTGCCATCCTCTCCCCGGTTATTCCCGGGGAGCTGCTCCATCCTGGGGAGCTTTTCCATCTCGGAGCTCCATCCCGGAGAGCTGTTCCATCTCGGAGCCGCTCCATCCCGGAGTGTTCCATCCAGGAGCTCCATCCCGGAGCTGCATCCCGGGGAGCTGCTCTATTCCGGAGCCGCTCCATGCCGGAGCTCCATCTCAGAGCTGCTCCATCCCTGAGATGCACTGCTCCATCCCGGAGCTGCTCCATGCCGGAGCTGCATCTCAGAGCTGCTCCATCCCTGAGCTGCACTGCTCCATCCCGGAGCTGCTCCATCCCGGAGCTGCTCCATCCCGAAGCTCCATCTCAGAGCTCTTCCATCCCTGAGCTGCACAGCTCCATCCCGGAGCTGCTCCATGCCGGAGCCGCTCCATGCCGGAGCTCCATCTCAGAGCTGCTCCATCTCAGAGCTGCCCCTCCATCCCGGAGCTGCCCCTCCATCCCGGAGCCGCTCCATCCCCGGGGAGCTGCTCCATCCCGGGCCGTGCCTTTAGGAATCCCATCCCTTACCAGCCGCATGGTGAAGTTTCCCAGGACAAGGAGGCAGGAACGCGGCTCCTCCCGGCGCTGCCTCCCGTGGAACAGCAGGAGACAGAGAAGCTGCGAACCTCGGAGTTGAGCGCCAGAAAAACCTCAAAGAGAGGGAGGGGGGAAAAAATGGGAAGAGCCAGAGCGGGAGCGAGCAGCGACAGCCAGCGAGAGCAGCAACTGCTGGCACGGCTCCAGCGCAGCGACGGATCCGCTGTCATCCCCAGCCTGCAGCCATGGAATGGGGAAACTCGGATTTACGGGAGCTTCGGAGCCGCTCTGACCCCTGCAAGGAGCGTTTGGCAGGGAATCAGCGAGGCTGGGTCCGAGGGGAATGGCGGGGTGGGTGTGTGCAGCAGAAATTCAGCAATCTCATATTCTACTTTATCTAGTCCGTTTAATAGATTTTATTTTATGTATTTTATTTAATATAGTCTATTTTCTATACTCTGTATTCCATAATATATAACACATAACACATAATACATAATATATAATATATAATATATAACATAACATATAACATATAACATAACATATAACATATAACACATAACACATAACACATAACACATAACACATAACACATAACACATAACATATAACATATAACATACAACATATAACATAATATATGTTATATATTATGTGTTATATATTATATATTATATGTTATATGTTATATGTTATATGTTATATGTTATATGTTATATGTTATATGTTATGTGTTATGTGTTATGTGTTATGTGTTATATGTTATATGTTATATGTTATACGTTATATGTTATATGTTATATGTTATATGTTATATGTCATATATTTATTTTATATTTCTATTTCATAGATTCTATTTTCTAGATCCTATGTTCTACTTTCTGGTTTATATTTTATATAAATAAACCCAGCAGCCAGCACAAACTCCAAACAGCTCGTTCCATCAGCTCCTTGATGGGAATTTTATTATACACAATTCCAACCCCAAATCTGCATCCACGTGGCTTCACTATCAAAGCACAGAGGGTTCAAGCCAGGCCTTGTG